TGGTATCATAATCAAATGAAAGTGTATAATCAAATGAAACTGTACAATATTTGTGTATTGTACAATCTCTCAGTCATTCTAGTTACATGCAGTTGCTTGATAATGGCACACTCAAGTAGATGAGATTTTGGGTGTATCCTTTTTACCTTGCTGTCTTTGCAGTAAGAGGCTAGTATACAGCATCAAGGGATTACATTCACTGGCTTGCCTGGCAACAGAAATTCCCTAAACTTGTTTGTACAAAATCTGTTCTGACTTGTTCGTAGCTTTTTTGTAGCCTCTCTCATCTCATCAAACTGGGATTCCCCTTTTCTGGCATCACTCATCATTCAAATCCCACCTCACTGATTTTTGGCTACACAAGAGATCATGTTCCCTATATGCTGAATTAACAGGTTCTTCTTTGACACTAATTTGACAAGGATCACCTTTAATTTATCACCACCTTGCTGGTTCATATGTATAATTAGTCTTTCACCTTCATTATTTTTCTCTTTTCTTTCCCCCATTTGCACTGAGTGTTTGCTTTTCTGTCTGTCTGTCTCAAATACCTAAGAATTGACTAATAAATTTTTCTCTATCCAGCTCCCCATCAAGGTAATGGCGAAGCAGATGCATTAGAAAAAAATTACAAATGTCAAGAGTATGAGTCATAGCAGCCATTATTGGTTGCTATGACTCAGCCCATCTTAAAGTATTATTGCCTTGAAAGCCCACCTGAGCTAAAATTCAGAAACGTAGTATAATTCTATTAATTCATCTTATTTACTGAATTTGTATACTGCCCATTTCTCTGTCAAACGATTCTGGCAATACCACAAATATACCACAAATAAAACAACATAGGATTAAAACATTAGAACATCTTCATCTTTAGAAAGATTTCAGATCTTGACTGCCACAAATAATTTTGACAGTGCTCCTCTTTAGTCATCTGCCAGTAAGTTTATTTTCATACCCTAACACAGGGCTGCCAAACTCAAGGGCCAGATGCATCATGTGCTGGCCATGCCCTTGCCCAGTTTAACGAAGGGGAAGAAGTTGCGATATATTACATGACCACGCCATGATGAGTTTGACATTCCTGCCGTAACACATAAACATATTTTATGTTTGTGTTTTATTTACTACTTCATTATAATCATTTTGGTAATGCATGAAGCCTTGCATTACACATAAAAGAACAAACAAAAAGAAACTTATTGCCTTCCCTAAGCATTGGAAAAACTGGAAAATCTAAGCCATATTCTGTTTGTGGTATGGCCCTGTCCACTTTTCTTCACCTTCTCACCTACTGCTGTTCTCTCACATGAATATAGATGTTAAGTGTAGTACCTAGCATCAGAAGGTGGCCCACTCAGCGTAATCAGTGTTGCTGTTTAGTACATTTGCTCTAGATTCAGATGACTAAGAATGTCTAGAAACAAGATAACTCAGAAAGAATTCTTAAAAAAATACATTTTATTTATTTTACAATTAAAATAGACCAGCAACGAATACATAAATGTAAGAGAGAAAAAGAGAATTAAAAGAAAGAATAGAAAGAAAAAGATAGAAAACAATTAAAAACATTTTCATTTTCAACAGTTTGTGAGACCTCCTTTTTATCCTTATTTTATGCCATATACACAATTAATCCTTACATATATCTGTATATCACTACTACGATTCTATCATATCTTCTTTTGCCTTTTAATGTGAAATCTATCTTTGGTCTATCCATTTGTACCAGCAGTTCCAACTGTCATAATATATTGAAGTGTCTTTATCTTTTAATGACAAGGTTAGTTTGTCCATTTCTGCACAACTTAAAATTTTTTGAATAATCATCTCCTCTGATGGAACATGAAGCTGTTTCCAACATTGTGCAAAAGCCAATCTGGCCACTGTCAAAATATGTATTATTATATATTTCACTTTTTTTGGCAGTTGTTTATCAAAGATCCCTAATAAAAAGGACTCTGGCTTAAATTCGATCTGTTCTCTTGTCATTTCCTCCAGCCAATTTCTAATTATCTGCCAATATTTTTGAGCTTCTGTACAAGACCACCACATATGGAAGAAAGTTCCCTCTTTTTTTTTTTTTTCATTTTCAGCAGTTTGGACTCATATTGGGGTGCATCTTCGCTAATCACGAAGGAGGAAGGTGCCACCTGTAAAACATTTTATAGGCATTTTCTTTGTATGCTACCGATTTTGTTATTTCTACCCCAGACCTTTTCCCATTCTGTTAAGGTGATACTACGTCCTATATTCCTACTCCAGGCTATCATGTTCCCTTTAACAATTTCTAATTCTACCTCTAATAAATAATTATATATATATATATTTTGCCTGATCCTAATAAAATTTTATCTATTTGCTGGAGTTTATTATTAATTCCAAATTCTTTCTTGTCCAGTTTGTGTCTACTTTGATTTTGAAGATATGCCTACCAATCAATTTTTAATCCCTGATTTTGAAGGTCTTGCCACGATTTCAGATTTCCTTGTGTATCCAATAGGTTCTTATATTTAATCATTTTAGTAATATCTAGATTATTTAGGTGGATCATTGCCTCCACTGTTGAGATCCAGATTGGTATCTTTAAGTAGTGCTTTTTTCCGTATTTTCTTCCAATTACTCAATAATGAATCTCTGATTAGGTGTCTGTGAAAATATTTCTGGCGAGTTTTCCCAATATCCCATAAAAAAGCATGCCACCCCCTCTGTAAGTCATGGCCTTCTAAGAGTAATATTCTCTTATTGGTTAAATTCACCCATTTCTTCAACCATACTAAAGAGGCCGCACTATAATACAACTCCCAATTTGGGAGTGCCAGCCCTCCCCTGCTCTTCATATCCTGCATTGCCTTTAAGTTTATTCTAGGTTTTTTTCCTTTGCCAGATGAATTTTGCAGTTATTTTGTTAAGTTCTTCAAAAAACTTTTGTGTACTTTAATTGGAATCATCTGAAATATATAGAGGAATTTTGAAAGAATATTCATTTTAATAGCAGCAATCCTGCCTAATAGTGAAAGTTGCAGTTTGCCCCATGTTTCTAAATCCTTCTTTACCTGTTGCATCAATTTGTCATAATTGTTTTCCTTTAGTGTCTTACAATGTGCTGTCAACCATATTCCTAAATATTTAACAAGTGATACTTTCTGTATCACTTGTAGTCCCATAACTTCTTCTAGTTCTAATTTGTTTTACTGTTAAATTTTTAGTCATTAATTTCATTTTCTTCGTATTAATTTTTAGTCCTGGTACTGCTCCAAATTGTTCTAATTCATTCATCAATTTTTGTCCTCTTTCTATTGGTTCTTCAATGAAAAAAACATATCATCTGCAAACGCTTGCAACTTATGTTCTTCAGAAAGAAAGAATTTTCTTACATATCCATCATTTTATAAATACATCTTTTAGTTGTGCAGAAATTATTTCTATTTATAAATACAATATATAAAATACAACATTCCTGTTTTCTCTCTGGTCCTTCAGTACTTGGAGAATGGAGAGATAAGATAGTGTACACTACACAGTAATCTACTATTATGCAGAGAGATTTATGTTGAATGTTGTTTTAATCTTTCAATACATTAAGTTGAAAGCTACACATAAGAAATAAGGAGGAAAAAGTTTAGACTGAGTACTGGATGTCAGAGTATTCCTTGACATCCAGTGTCAAAATTAGGTCTTAATTATGTGCAAAAATGTTATCTTGAATTTTGACATATTTTGTTAATGCCATTCAGCCAATTTTCCTTACGCTATAGCCTGGGGTGATTGTGGTAGCTGGAAAGATTAACTTTTAAAATGTCTGCATTTTAGCTCATTGTTTTGCTACTAAGTGCTAAAAGTAGTTTTAAAGGCAAAGTACAGGACATTGGCAAAATCTGAGCCTAGTAATTAACCAGTTGAACCATGGAAATTTTAAAGTGTTCATCGAAATTGTAAAGGAAAGGAGAGAATTGGTCTTCTTCATCTCATAATAGCTAGTAATTTTGGGAGGTGACTGCTAGAATTGATGTGTATCTGTGTAAGTGTATAACATGAGATTTAAATATTTGATTGCACACCTATTTCCTTTCCCCTGCAATAAAAAAGTTTTGGAATAGAGCCAGTTCCAACTTCGAATTGTTTAGCCTAATTAGCATAGAGGGAATAGATTACAAAAGAACAGGAAAGAGGAAGATTTTCCTTGCAGTAAAACACGTTTAGAAGTTTCCTTCTGGAAGCGTTCGGGGAAGCCCTTCAGCAGCTTTGTAAACAACAAACTTGACTCACCAAGTTTCTTAGAAAAGAAATGAAAATCACCCCAAAATAAGGTATTAGTTTCAGTACACCCTGGGATATCTCAAGAAATATAAAAATCTATGACAAGAAAATAATTGAAACAAAAAAGGGAACTAATCTGCTTGAGCTGAGGTATTCTGGAGGAGTTACTGAAATCACAGGAATATTTACCATGTGCTTCATCCCCAACTCCCCAACAATTATAGGAAGAAAGTTTGTAGCTCTACTTTCAGATTTCCTTCTACAGAAATAAGGTCATGTACCTATCTCTTTGGCTTAGTCACTCCTCTCCTTTCATTTATTAGATTTATAGCCTCCACTATTATTTGCTTTACATATTTTTGCCAAGAACAAAAAATTGCATGTAATACTATATCTGAACTAGTCCATGGGTACTGTTATCATCCTTTGACCCTCAGAAGATAAAAGTTTTAGCAGTCTCAAAACATGGCTAATTGGTGGATTTATTGAGCTAGAGGCATTAAGTTCTATTTGATCCAAAGCTGTCTATAATTAGTAATACCTATGATTTTGAATTGTACTTATGGAGGAAAGGCTAAGAATAGTCAGATGGTAAGATATGATAAGCTTATCAGTTTTCTGATAAATTGTGGTATAAGTAGCAAGTAATAATTGTTGCTCTATTTTGCACCAATTTTGGCAAAAAAAAAAAGATTTTCTGTATTAGTTTCATGATTGTGTTCTCTCTTCTTTCTTTTTAGGCTGCAAACATGTGAAAGGTATCCTCTTATATGGCCCACCTGGCTGTGGTAAGACACTTATGGCCAGGCAGATTGGCAAAATGTTGAATGCCAGGGAGCCAAAAGTTGTGAACGGGCCCGAAATCCTTAACAAATATGTCGGAGAATCAGAGGCCAACATTCGCAAGCTCTTTGCAGATGCTGAAGAAGAACAAAAGAGGGTAATTTAGAAACATGAAAAGAGTTTACATGATGTTCTGTTTGGGTTAGGATTCAGGCCATTAGTAGAAGTAGCAGAGCATGTGTTAACTGCCACAACAGCAACTTGTGGCAACTGCTTTCCTTCATGTCATGTAATAATTATTATTAAGAAATGTGTGGCTTGAGATTGCATCATTGTATGGCATATTTTCCTTCTCTCATGGAATAATGGAATTGAGTAGAGATGGATAGAAAGGATCTTTTTTCCAATTAAAAATAACTAGACATGATTAGTGAAAGAAATGGCAAAGATATATTTCATTTTTAACAGCCTCTGTGTTGTGCAGTTTGAGATGTTGTGGCTCATGGGATTGCAATTTTGTTAATGTGGGTATTCTAGGGGAGAAAAAGAATTTGGATCTATTCCAATGACTGTCAGTCAATTTTAGAAATCTTTTCATTTGGAAATTTAGCGTAGCAATGTGTCTGGCTACCCTAACTATAGAATGGAGTGGCGGAAGATTGAGAGAGGAGAGTTGATTCAGTCTGCAGATAGAGCTGTTGTTTTTTGTTCCCACAGAGACTAGTTGATTTGAGAAGTCAGTAAACAGTGCAGGGGTACAGTAGAATCCTGCAGCAAATGCTTTTCAATACCTGGAATCACTGTGATTTAGTAGTTAAAGAACTATACTAGGATTGGAGAAAGAAATCTACTGTTAGTTGTGAAAATTCAGTGTGTGATTCTCTGCCCTTCATATGCCCTCAGTTTAATTTATGTCAGAGGATGTCTATTATAGAAACTAAATTTTCCAAAGGAAGTCAGGATAAACATCTAACCAATCAATCAAACAATTCTATTTAGAGGCATATTGCCTGATATTATTGGAGGTAATAAATACATTTATTATAACTCTATTAAGCCTCCTTTACTTGTCACTTTTCTAAGTATTGAAAAGCTCAAATATTGGACAGCTCTGTGTTTCCCCACTTTTAGATTTTATGAATCTTTGATATTGAACATTATTAAAACATTCCTAGAATCTGAGTGAACAAAGATGATTCTTACTTCATTTTTTTCATTAACAAAGGTATCCATCATTTTGATCCACTATTAAAAAGCCACTTGCCCTTGCTTCTATTTAGTCAGTTCAAATAAGGAATAGTCAGGGCCAATTATGTGAAAATTTCATTTAACAATCAGAGCTGATTTGGGCCAGCTGTCCTTTATATACATCTTAAAAACCAGATGCCCTTATCACAATGAACTTCTCACCACAGATTCTAGAAGGACATCATGCTCCAGTTAAAATGAATTTAAGACTTCAATAAAAACATCATGATCTCAAAAAACAGAAACAAAACACAATCTGCTAATGGCTATCATTCTAGAAAAGGTTACAGACCCATTTTGAAAGTTTGAGAGTTTCACCAAACCCCAGACAGATGTTTAGACAAGATTTGGCATTTTTATTCACCTATTGAGTCCTTCCCAAGAACCTGGAGTTATTGTTATTGGTTCATTTCATAGTCAACAATGGATTTTATCTATCTATTGAATCCTTCTCAAGAACTTGGGGAAGCAGGTGTTTTTTATGATGATGATGATGATGGTGATGATGATGATGATGATGATGAAAATAAAGCTGCCAAAGAAGACCATCTGTATCCATAGGATATCAGTGTGCAGCTTGGACCAAAGATGGGATCAAGTACTCTTCCTATGTGTCTAGACACTGTGCTAAATATCTAAATAGAGATAAAATGTCTCAGACTTTATCCAAATAAGAGGGGATGGCTATAGATTTGGAAGCTGTCAGATTCCAGAAATAATCATTAACCATGAATGAATTGTTCCGTTCTATTCAGAAGTGGTTTACCATCTGGGGAGCTTCTTTGACTTCTTTTTTCTCCTTGTAAAGGAAGGGAGACTTCACTGTAACTCTACTTTGTGCACCAGTTGCAACCATTTCTGAACCAGAAAGCCTGTTGACAGTCCCTTAAGTAATTGTCACCTCACAGTCGGAAGTTACACAGCATAGGTCCACCCTTGAAGACCTTCTAGTAGCTTCAACTGATCCAGAATGCAACCACATGGGTAGTAGTGTGCTTGGTTTATTTTATGCATGTAAGACTTTTATTATGGGAGGTGTACTGGGCAGCATTTAACAACTGTTAGGATATTGGTAACTTTCAGTTACTAAGACATAGTCTATGGAGAATCTCCGTCATCCAGGTCATGGTTGTCTCAAAGGTGTTTTTTTTTTCTCCTCATGTGGCAACTGGACTTTCTGGGTTTTGTTTTGTTTTTTGAAGACATTTCGCTTCTCATCCAAGAAGCTTCTTTAGCTCTGACTGACTGATATCTATTCCCCACCATCCAGTCAGAGCTGAAGAAGCTTCTTGGATGAGAAGTGAAATGTCTTCAAAGAAAAAAAACTAGAAAGTCCAGTTGCCTCATGAGAAAAAAAAAGCACCTATTAAGACAGGTTTCATGCAATCTGCCTCTCCAGTGAGCTCCAAGGGGAGAGTTCCTACAGGTCTATTGAAACAATGTCAATATCTGGAAGATGCAAGTATTTTCAGTGAAGGTCCCTCTTCTCTGTTCCAGAGATGAAGACTTTGTTTTTAGAGCCTTGGATCATGCTGCCCTGACTATATAAGAATGGTAGAGATGGAATGGAAGATTACTGCTCCGAAAGGAGTGATGCTGCATGTTTAGTGAGGGTGACAAGTTACAGATATTTTACTATTGGTTTTGCCCAATAGTCATGTTTTTAACCTTGATTAAAGATTAAAGATTTTGTAAGACTCTGGAATCAATTGCATAAAACCCCCAAATAATAATTAAATATGTCCAACTATAAGTGTGGTGATGGTAATTTGAGAGTGACTTAGACCTGCATGACTTGTCATCATTGGAAGGAAGGAATCCTGTATTGGAATAGTTCTCAACTTTTTCTTCACTGTGGATCAGCCTTAAGTACCTTTTGTGGCTATGGACTATGGCTATGGACCCCCAAAATTTAACTCAGGATTTTATTGTATTATTGTACTACTAACTAAATCTCAAGAGATAATTAATTTCTCACTTTTCCATGTCAAATTTTACATAATTTTGTTTATGAAATAAATTCTAAATGTTATTTGCTCACTCTTCCTTATATATCAGTAGGAACATTCACTTGAAATGTTGATAGCATTCAGCAGAATGATACTCAAACATGCAGAAAATCCAAAAATGTAAAATACCAATAATTCTTCTTGAGAAAGAATTGCAATCCTTTGTGTCATTCATTCTGCCTAATTGCAATCTGATAAATACTTCATACTACATATTTTATTTATTTTTCTAATAGTTTTAAGAATTTGTAATTGTTGACTTGGATGGCCAGAAATGGAATTCAGTCAATGTAACTGTGAGTTCTATAATTTACCTGAGAGTTTGGAGTGGAATACATCTATATTTATATGCTACTAGAACTTCCCTGTTTGTAATTTTTCTGTTTGCATTATGATGCACTGTTAGCCCAAATGATTCATCATAGTGCAAAAATGCTTGAATAAAGTTATCTCAAACCCATTAACTTAATGATACAAAATCTTGAACCCATTACTGCCATTGTGGTACCATCATTACTGTTACTGTAATTGAAATTACAAGGATCTTCTCATCAGTTGTAGTTACAAAGTTTTGGCTACTTCAGCATTCTTATTTAGTTGCGGTCATGTCATTGTGATTTCTGGTGCTCCCTGCTAGTTTCCCACAAGGAAAGTCAGTGGGAAAGCCAACAGGAAGTTGAAAGTCACTCCTACTGTCACTGCTTTTTTGCCCATCCATATTATTCTGTTTCTCTGTTTAGGTAGGAAATACCTTCAAAAGAATGACCCAATGGGTCATGGGTTGTCTAGTTCTAAAACAAAATTGTTTGTTCATAAAATTCTGAGTGTACATATTGTAATTGTCAGCCTTGTCAACCCTGAAGCTGACCGTAATATTCTATTTCCTAAAGTATTTTAGTGGCCTTCGTAATCTTAATAATATGAATTAGTCTATTGTTAATTGAGCTGCTCTGAAATACTGAAACTGGAAATAGGTCCACAAAAAATGCATTATTTATGGCATAAAGCCTTATACCAAATGAATATTGAAAGCTTCTTCCCTTCATTACGATTAGAGTGGGGTTGTTCTTTACAAGCTTAAATGCTTTAGTCTTATTCTGCATTCCTTAAAACATTATATTATGATAGCTATTAGAATGACAATAGTTTAATCACATACTTTGATTTTTCTTCATCAGCTTGGGGCAAACAGTGGTGTTCATATAATCATCTTTGATGAAATTGATGCTATCTGCAAACAACGAGGGAGTATGGCGGGCAGCACTGGAGTCCATGACACTGTTGTGAACCAGCTCTTGTCTAAAATTGATGGTGTTGAACAGTTGAACAATATCTTGGTAATCGGTATGCACTTGCCTTGTTTTCTTGGGTTCTCTTGAGAGGGAAACTTTGCCATATCTTTGCCATATTTGCAAGGAGACATGGATGCAAGATATTTCTGGATGCAAACAGTGAATGTCTCACGCTTCAAAGACTTGAGACTAAAACAACAATGCAGAGCCTTAGACATGATTTATCTTACCTAATAGGGAAATTATTTATTTTTTATATTGATATAGCCACCAATGTCACAGCAAGTTAATCTGGATAGCATACAACAAAAGTAAAATAATACATTACGAGCTATGGTATTTATATTCAATCTTAAGAATTATTAACTCTTAATTGACTGATTTTTAGCTTTTTATATTTTTTATCAAAGCTATATTTTACAGTAATTTTTACTGTTTTTCAAGGAAAGTTTTAAATTGTAATATTAAAATTAATAACTAACAGAGATAAAATGGAAAACAGAAAAAAGTTGTGATAACTACTTGGAAAAGAAAAAGTGAGAACCAACCCAAGGAATAATATTGGTGAAAGAACTATTTATTTTACTTTATATTAGTGGGATTACAAGGCAAGATGGTGGTACTTTTCTTGTCTTCTCTCCCTCCCTCTCCCCCCCTTCTCTCTCTCTTTCTCCCCCCCCCTTCGTTCTCTATCATACTGTATCATATCTGTTTTCATGCAGATTACTTTGCATATTAGCTCCACATGTTCACTCATTTGAATAGTATAACTTGAGACAGCAATTTACAGATATCAGATGCATCAACATTTCTCTGAAACCTTAGATATTGCAATTTAAGCCTGGAACAAGCCTTTTTAACTTCCCTCATTTTGTTCTCTCATATGACTCTCTCTCTCTCTCTCTCTCTCACACACACACACACACACACACACTCACACTCACACTCACACAAAACTTTTGATATCATTTTGGGATCTCCATATATAAATAAAAGTAAAAAGAAAATTATCATGCCTGGGAATGCTACTGTATGTTTGATTTGCCACTGTTGCTTAATGGAAATATATAACAATTGTTTGCTTGGTGCCTAGAAGGCTTAATCAGCTAACCTAAGAATCAGGTATAGTATCTGGACTCATTCTTTTTCAAGCTAGTAATAATTTATTTTTGATGTCTAGGTATGACCAATAGACCAGACCTGATTGATGAAGCTCTCTTACGACCTGGACGACTGGAAGTGAAAATGGAGATTGGTAAATAATCAGGGCAGCAGTTACTATCAAAACCCATAAACAAATGGTAGGAATTGGAAAGTTTTGGTAGGAAATAATTTGGTAAAGATGGTCCTATGAATTCAGCCATCTCTCCATGATTTATATTAACTGTTGAACAAGGAATATGTGCAGTATGGATTCTCTTGAATATTACACTAAGAGAACCATGATACCCACGACTGGAATACATTCATAGAGATTGAACAAAAGACAAAAGCAAAAGACAAAAGCAATATTTACTGCAACTCACAAGCCATTAGTTTGGCATTATGTAAATTGCCTTTCCTTCTATGGGATCATGAATTCTTATGTTAGAAGAACATCTAGCTGCCACAAGCCTTGACCTTTCATTCTTGTGTATTTTCAACTTTCAGCAATAGAGAAGGACATTTAATGTTTCTTTTCACATGTTGGCTTGTTCTTACTCCCAAGTTTCCCAAGTTTGGATACTTTAGGTAGATATAGCTACAGAGGTTTAAGCTATATTCAGCTGTAGCATGTAAATTATGAGGAAGTACATTGTGATTTAGATAGGATAGGACACTCCTAAGGAATATCAGGGCAAAAGTCTAGACTGGGAAATCACAAAACACCCCAGGCAATTGCAAGATTTGTTGCTAAGAGAATTGCACGGACGTTTCTATAAGTCTCCAGTCAGACATTGTTTGTGCCTAAATGTGATGAGATGATTCATAAATCTCCATTGCATCCTAGTTGAAAATGAGATGCAATCTCTACCTCATTTACTACTCTTTTTAAAAGCCAGCTCAGGAGACTGGAGTTTGAGAAAGAAAGGTTATTGCTTAGCCTGTTAAAATATTGCAATCATGGGAGAAAGTGGCAATGTCTAAAGAGCCTTTCCCAGCCTGGCTGTCTCCAAACGTGTTGGGGACAATTGCTTCTAGAAATCCCCAACTAAAATCTTGACAAGAAATTTTGAAAGTTGCAGACACACTGCATCTGAAAAGATCATTGTAAAAAAAATAATTTAAAGCAAAATGATAACTTTTCCATTTAGGCTTGCCCGATGAAAAAGGTCGAATGCAGATCCTCAACATCCACACATCAAGGATGCGAACCCACCAACTGCTGGCTTTAGATGTGGATATTGCAGAGCTGGCCGTGGAGACCAAGAACTTTAGTGGTGCTGAACTCGAGGGTCTGGTTCGGGCAGCCCAGTCGACAGCTATGAACAGACACATTAAGGTTTGCTCCTCCTTAGCATTACCCAGTCTCTGCAGATAGCACTAGATATGAGGTTCGGCTAGGGGTGGGATACGACAGGGTTAACTACCGGTTCCCACGTGCCTGTAAATCGTGCTGTGTGCAGAGATGCAGCCTTTGAAACAGCCCTCTTTTCCTGCTTTTTTAACTGCAGCTGTGCCTCGTTCAGCAGCTGAAGTTGAAAAATCAGGAAATAAAGATCAGGTAACAGCCCTGGTGGCAGGTGGGCAAAAACATCAGCAGACATAGAACTGGTTCTATGTCTGCTGCTCTTCAGAGCTACTGGTTCTACAGAGGTGGACAGAACTGGTAGAAACCACCCCTGGCTTCGGCGCTGTCCCCTTGTGCCACTTCCTCTTTTGTTCTTATGAGTTTTGCTTAGTTATAAAGAATTTAAGAGTTAATCCTAAAAGGCAGAATAAATCTTTAAATGATCAATATTTCCTCTTATTCTTGATTCAGATTTGACAGTTGTGGGGGAAGAAAACTTTCAAGAAGTAAAAATATTTTAAAGAAAGATTTATATTATTTGTGGGGACCAAAAAACAATGAAAGACTTTTGAAGCGTGCAGTTTCTTCTGCTGCAATCTGAAACTAGATAAAATAAATGGCCACCCCATTTGTTGTTCAGATGTCTACCTCATTTAGGCAGTATGATACAAAAGCTACATCTTCTTTCCCTTTCTTAGCTCTTTGTGCACCATTGTCCCAAGCTTTTTTTCATACCTGCTAATTTTCAGCTGTTGGAGACAGGGTTCATCTTTGTTAAATGCTATAACAAGATTAATCAGGAACCTGATAGTATTGTGAGATTCTGTCATGGAATGTTCCGACTTTGTAATGGACTTTTCTAAATGTTTTGGAGCTACTTTAACTTCCATTTTGGAACAGTCTGGGATAGGAATGTTTCCCTCATAGAATGCATACCTATTTTTCAGTTATTTTCAATTTGAAAATAACAGCACTTGGCTGCCTGTTCATATCGATTGGATTGTTTAAAGAAATTCAGTGCAAAGTTGTGCCTCTGCTCATCTAACGAAATGTTCATTTGATAAAGAGACAAAAAGTATACAAATATACAGGCAAAAAGCATGCAAGTTTGAATATAGAAGCTAAGATTGATACATTAGTAAGATGCATGAAAAAGATTATATCTCCTTCATATTATATCAGACATTTGTCTCCTTATGTCTGAAGTTTCATCAAACATTGTCCTCCTGATCTACTATTAGATATTGACATGGGATTAGATTTTACCCATACAATATCATGAATTATGAATATGCACAAAGAGGGTAAACATCTACAACAGTTTTATTACTTAGCTCCCAAAGGCCTGATTTCAGGGTAAGATATTCTTTGGAGTATTTCTCTTTCTTTTCCTTTCTTCTCTTTCTCTTGCTTTCTTTTTCTCCTTCATTTTTAGTTGTAAAGGTCACTGGGCTTTTAGCAGGAAATGAGTGATGTCAGATGTGAAATGTCAGGATGAGTAAATTAGAGATTAGCTGAAACAAGCTAAATTAGTTTTTTATATTGGAGAGTGTTGAAATGCTGATTTTTGTTAGCCTGTAACAGGTGTTGGGTTTGGAATGCATTCTGGAACACATAGCTCTTAGTGTGTGTGCACTGCAGATGAATTTGGGGAGGGAGGAGACCCTTGTAGCTTATAAAAATGAACCTTAAGGAAAACCCACTTTAAACATGGCCTGAAATCTGAAGCGGAACAAAGCTTTTACTAAGACAACTCCATAAGAGTGCCAGGTTCCATGGTGCTGATCTACTTTCCCTGGTTCTGTCAAGTCACCCTCTTGTTCCCCAGTGCAGAATCATATATATGTATGTGTGTGTGTGTGTGTGTATGAAAATTTTATGAATTTTGCATTAATTGCCTAATTCCAATCCAAGTGTGCTCTACAACACTATCTTCCCACTATATTGGGTATCTAACAAAGAAAAATTGTAAATCTTCTATAAGGGATCATGTTGTGCAAGGGTATTGGAGAGAAAATGCTAGGAATTTTTTTTATAAAGGTCCCAGTTCAGATCATACATTTTGTGTAACTTTTAATTACACAATGTTCAGTAGCATAGAGAGAAGCAAATAAAAAGCAATGAATACGTGCAGGCACACATACATTATTGATTCTTTTCTGGAGTAAAACTAGTATTTATGCAAAGTGCAGTAAAGAAATAAGAAATAATATGATTAATTTATTTGTATGACATAAAGCAGGAGATAAAAAGAAAATGGGAAATAATTAAAACTAATTTATTTCAAAACCTTTTTTTATACCACTCCATACCTTTTTGTTCTTACAAACCATTCTTGTTTCCTCCTCAGACATGTACTAGTTCCTATGTTTCTTTATGTACTTTAAAGTTTGCTTCTTTTACTTTGCTGCATATACTCATGAACTCTACTCTGATACATTCTGTTTCCAAGAAACATTTTTAAAAAAATAATTTTGTATACATAACTAACATACATACATACATACATACATACATATGTATATTCTTAAGTTTTCGCAGGTATTTATATGTATGGTAATCAGCTTTGTTCGGGTGTTTTCCCATGTCATTATAGTTGTGCTTTTAAAGCACAACTGTAATGATGTGGGAAAATACCCGAACAAAGCTGAATACCATAACCACACACACACACACACACACACACACACACATTCTTTTATTTAAAGGGAAACTGAGACTACTTGACATTTTTCTTGGAGGTTCCATTATTTCAGTTTTGTTGACCTATTTTAATTTACATTTTGTTGGCTGTCTTACTGATGTGCCGTCTTCTATTTTCATTAGGCCAGCACTAAGGTGGAAGTTGATATGGAAAAAGCAGAATCTCTGCAGGTGACAAGGGGAGACTTTTTGGCTTCACTGGAGAATGACATTAAGCCAGTGAGTGTGTCTTTCATTTCTTTTTGTTGCTAAACAGGAGAACTAGTTCGTATCATCTCCACCCTTACAAATGGAGGCAGTTATTCATTATTTGCTTTACTACCTCTGTTTCTTTCCAACCGCAGGCATTTGGGACCAATCAGGAAGATTATGCAAGCTATATTATGAATGGCATTATTAAATGGGGCGACCCTGTTACTCGGGTGCTGGATGATGGGGAGCTTCTTGTTCAGCAGGCCAAAAATAGTGATCGTACTCCCTTGGTCAGTGTTCTTTTGGAAGGTATGTTACTTGCTCTACAGAAGATGGATTAAATATGATCTGCTCCTAGAAAGACTGCTGGGCTTAAGGGAGCTTGCTTCTATCTAGAATGATTTGCAATTTCTAAAAGAAGATTATTAATATTATATTAGATTATAAAAGGGGTTTCTGGCACCTCTGTGAAAAAAAGAGGATTGGTATATTGTTCTTCCTCTTAACTTACAGAAATTTAATTCAGCATAATCTCAAATCATATTTAGTGTGATATCTAAAATGTTACAACATGGTTTCTAATAGAGAACAAACAAACTGGGAACCATTGAAATAGCTTTCCACAAGTGATTAGTGCTAACTACTATCTAATGTTATGGTAAAAATAATACATACTCTCTATCTTGCTCTATCTCCTTAAAACTTGTAAAAGATTTGTGTACAAATATGCAAACCTGAGTGCAAATGATGAAGATAGAAGTGGCACTTAGAACTGGGAAAGAGGCAATCCAAAAAATATAGTACAGTAATTGGTTATATCAAAAGCTGCTGAGAATTTCATCAAAAGCAACGGTGAAGTATTATCCTTGCCTAATTTTGGGAGTAGATTATCCATGATCACTAAGTCGTTTGTAATAGCTTTGCTTAATTAATTAATTTTATCCAGGAAAGCCTGAAACTTAAATGCTATAAAAACTGTCAAGAAAGGAGTTGGTTAGCACATGGTTTGGTATTAAAAGTGATTTGTGTCCCAATGAAGATTCTAGATTCATAGCTTTTTCAAGAACTTGAAAGTTCATGCAAGTCTCAGCCAAATGGAGAAACCTTTTCTTCCGTGGGAGTCAGTTTTCATGGAGAGACTTCGTCTTTTTAAGACTGGCAAGATATGCTGTTTCTTTTATCTAGCACTGGACTATTTTTCACCAACAGGGCCGCCACATAGTGGGAAAACAGCTTTAGCTGCAAAGATTGCAGAGGAATCTAATTTCCCCTTCATCAAGATCTGCTCTCCTGATAAGATGATCGGCTTTTCAGAAACTGCCAAGTGCCAGGCAATTAAGAAGGTATAACTACTAACCATTTTTTCCTGATGTATTACTTAATAATTTTTCTCTACTGCTCTGTTTAACAGTTTGTTAAATATTTTTATAAATTAGCTATGTAGGTTTGAATTAAAATCAGGACCTAAGAAACAGGAGTATGAAAATAATCTTATTGTCGTAAAGGAAAAGATATTAAAAAAGCTAAAAGATATTTATTTACCTACTTACTTACTTGCCACTCATCTTGTTCTGAAGTATTTTTGGGTTGCTTACAGCATTAAAAGATTAAAATAATAAAAGATAAATATTTCTAAAGCAATAAAAATGGGAATTACAATGAAAAATAGAATTATAGTTAAAAGATGGGGAAGGAGAAAGCATGGGTGCGGGAGGTGGGATTTGCCTCTTAACTCATCAACCATCTTCAATGTGATTCTTCCCTGTTGGGGGAAATTTCCTCAAATTTTCCTAGTGCCATGATGGCGAACCTATGGCACATGTGCCACATGTGGCAGGCAGAGTCATTTGTGCGGGCACACGAGCCCCAGCCAGACTTAGCTCACTGCACGTGTGTGCCTCCCACCTGATTTTCGGCCTCCCAAAGGCTCTAGGAAAGCCTCTGCAGCCTTGGGAGGCCGAAAAATAGGGCTATTTCATAACTTCATGTGTCTCTGTACTCCATACACACACACACACACACACACTTATGGTATTCAGCTTTGTTCGGGTATTTTCCCACGTCATTATACCTCAACGCCCAATCCCACCACCACCCAGCACAGATAAACTACTTGGCCAAAACACTAATTGCCAGAACCAAACGCCTGGCAGACAAGACACACATAAAGACTGAACTATGCACCCTGACTAAAGTACTGACAGCCAACGGCTTCCACAAAAGCAAAATCACAGGCCTGATCCACAAAAACATACTGAGACATAATGGAGACCTAGAAGATGAACAGACCTATGGAACAGCTGTCCTGCCCTACATAAGAGGTGCTACAAACAAAATCAGTAAGATACTACACAGGCATCACATCAAGACTGCCTTCAAAACAGACAGAAAAATAGCAGCCATCCTAAGAAACCCCAAAGATAAAATTGACCTGAAAAACCAAGGCATATATGAAGTCCCCTGCGCATCATGCCCTGCCACACACATCGGACAGACTAATAGAAGAATAAGTATCCACCTAGATGAACACAAAAATGCAGTAAAAAGCTGGAACGCACTTCCTCACTAGTCCAACACATGAAAGCCACAGGTCATAGCATTGACTTCGGTGGACCACAATCCTAGCCACTATAGAAAACCCCAGCTACAGAATTATCAGAGAAGTTATAGAGATTGAAAAAAGACCTGAAAGCATGAATAGAAGAGATGACTCCACCAGACTGTCAATTATCTGGAAGCCTGCACTCACAAACAGAAAAATTTCCACACAAGCCAAGCAAACACCTGGGCACAAACAGACCCCCCCCCCCCCCCC